TTTAACTTACATACGTCTTAGGATTATCGTAAGTATGGTAAATTTCCGGTTATCACAAAAACAAATGGATGACGTCAGTCAAAATTCCACAGAAGAAATCTTATTATGAGTCTATATTTTTACCATTTTTCCAGAACTGTCAAAATCAAAAGTGACAAATTTTGATGTACAGTATAACCTCGATAATCCGAATTAATTGGGGAAAGCCGTGTTCGGAATAGCGATTTGTTCGAATCAGCGAGTTTCCCAAAAAGCGCTCAGAGCGAATTGAACAACAACTTCATAAACTGCTGAAAACAAATTTCAAGAAATAAACCTTAATTTTATTAAACAGAAATAAAGTATTCTTAACCAACAATGGATAATAATACATTCTAAAAAAATATTACCCCGTGGCCATAACCACGCTATATTTTTGGAATCAACACGTCGGGATCTCTATCCCTGAATTTAATCAGAATTTTCTGACCTTTTCAAAAATGAAATTTCCCATTATGTATTCGTATTATCTCCTTTATGCAAATTTCGACCCATTTTCGACGATTTTCGAAGTTTAACTAAATACTTCCATGTAGATTTTGGGTCACAGAAGTCACTTCTGGCTTCATTTCTTCGATAACTTAAACAGTTTTTCCAGAATCGTCCATTGAAATATCGCAATTTTCAAAAATTTCAAAAAATTCGAATTTCACACCGAATTTTCCGAAAATATTGCTCCGTTATCTTAAACATGCTATATTTTTGGAATCAGCACGTTGGGATATATATATGAATTTTTTCAGAATTTTTAGACAAGTGGAGCGAGATAAGAAATTAGTTTTGATAATTATGATACAAATTTCCGGATAGTTTTTCCAGAATTGTCCATTGAAATATCGCAAGTTTAAAAAAATTTCAAAAAATTCGAAGTTTGGAATCAGCACGTTGGGATATATAAATCTCTGAATTTTTTCAGAATTTTTTTACAACTTTTTCAAAAATGAAATTTTACACTGTGGTAGTACTTGCCAAATAACCTACCCTCTAAGAAAATAAAAGGCCAGGTTAGTATTTGCCAAAATAAGACTCATTTTGACGAATGACCTACTCTTCTAAGAAAAGGTACTAGCCCCGCCCACCCACCCTATATTTTCTTAGAAGAGTAGGTCATCTGCCAAAATCAATCTTATCTTGGCAAGTTTAAGACTGATTTTTGCAAATGACAGATCCTCTAAGAAAATAAGGGTGGGTGGGCGGGGCTAGAACTTGTCAAGATAAGACTGATTTTGGCATATGATCCACTCTTATAAGAAAATAAAGGATGGGTGGGCGGGGCTAGTACTTATCAAGATGACACTGATTTTGGCAGATGATTTATTCTTCTAAAAAAATAAAGGCTGGGTGGGTGGCGGGTGGGGCTAGTACTTGCTAAAAATAAAAAAAAATAAAAAATCAAAAAATGACAAATTGAAAAATTAGATAAATAAGAAATCGGAAAATTGTACAACTGCATAATCGGCAAATCAAAAACTAAAATATGGAAAAATTGAAAAAAAAAACATCTTGTAAAATCGAATTCCAAATTCCTGTTTTCATCTTTTTTTAGTTTATAGATTTTTCAACTTTTGAATATTTCATTTGATAATTTTTTTGACAATTTTTGAGTTTTTAATTTCAATCTTTTGATTTTTCAAGTTTTAACTTTACAATTTAGATTTTTTTGATTTTTAATTTTTCAAGTTCTCAAGTCAAAATTTTTCCTTTTCACGATTTGTCATTTTCGATTTTTTACTGAAAGAACAAATTTAGTCGAACTGAAATTTTGAAAAATCGAAAAATCCAAAAATTGAAAATTAGAAACAAAATTTTTAGATGTTTTAAAGTTACGGTGAAAATGGCAATCGCTGATCAAAATTACTTTTTACTCCCTTCCAAAAACTTGGTGACAAAAAATCAAAAATCGAAAATTAAAAAACTATGCATCTATTTTCTCGATGTTTTTAAAAATCAAATAATTGAGAAATCGGAAAACTGCCACAATTGTAAAATTAAAAAATGGAAAGTTTTTTCAGTTGCCCTGAGAAATCAAAAATCGAAAGACAGATCAAAACATTGAAAATTTAAAAAACGAGAAATTGAAAAATCCGAAAGTTTAAAAATCGAAAAACTGAAAAATCTAGTAGTATTCGCTACGATAAGACTGATTTTGGCAAATGATCTACTCTCTTAAGAAAACAAAAGGCGGGTGGGCGGGGCTACCACTTGCCAAACTAAGACTCATTTTGGCCAATGACCTACTCTTCTAAGAAAATAAAGAATAGGTCATCTGCCAAAATCAGTCTTATCTTGGCAAGATGAACCTGATTTTTGCAAATGACATATCCTCTAACAAAAAAAAAGGGTGGGTGGGCGGGGCTAGTACTTGTTAAAATAAGACTGATTTTGGCAGATGACCCGCTTTTCAAAGAAAATAAAGGGTGGGTGGGCGGAGCTAGTACATATCCTTAGAAGAGTAGGTCATTTGCCAAAAGAGTCTTATTTTGGCAAATACTAGCCCCGCCCAAGCACATTTTATTTTCTTAGAAGAGTAGGTCATCTGCCAAAATCAGTCTTATTTTGGCAAGTATTAGACTGATTTTTGCAAATGACAGATACTCTAAGAAAGTAAGGGTGGGTGGGCGGGGCTAGGACTTTCAAGATAAGACTGATTTTGGCAGATGACCCACTCTTATAAGAAAATAAAGGGTGGATAGGCGGGGCTAGTACTTATCAAGATGAAACTGATTTGGCAAATGACATATGCTCTACGAAATCGGAAAATTGTACAACTGTATATTCGGAAAATCAAAAATTAAAATATCAAAAAATTGAAAAAAAAACAAATCTTATAAAATCGAATTCCAAATTCCTGTTTTCATTTTTTTTTTTAGTTTATATATTTTTGAAGTTTTGAATATTTCATTTGATAATTTTTTGACAATTTTGGAGTTTTTAATTTCAATCTTTTGATTTTTCAAGTTTTAACTTTACATTTTTAGATTTTTTTTGATTTTTAATTTTCCAAGTTCTCAAGTCAAAATTTTTCCTTTTCACGATTTGTCATTTTACGATTTTTTACTAAAAGAACAAAGTCGAAAAATCCAAAAATTGAAAATTAGAACCAAAATGAGTCTTATTTTGGCAAATACTAGCCTGGCCTACCCGCCTTTTATTTTCTTAGACGGTTATTTGGCAAGTACTATCAAATTTCGACCCATTTTCGACAATTTTCGAAGTTTAAAAAATAATTCTTTTAGATAATTAATTCAGTGCAGTGAAATATCACAGTTTTTAAAAATTTCAAAAAAGTAGCTACATGTTTTCAAGTTCAGTTCGAATTCAAGAGATATCGACTTCAACTAGCCTCTGTTCGGACAATCGTGGGTTCGGATTATAGAGGTTATACTGTGTCCTAAAAACCGAAAATTTATCGAATATTTTATTTCCCAGATTGTTTTGTAGATTTTTAGACAACTTGGCCAAAGGTTCAATTTTGCAATACTCCCCTGTAGGAAATTTTTTATCTTTTCCCCATCATCGTCGAAAATTACCACAAAAAATTGTTTTGTGTACTTAGACCTCCAGAAGTTTTGTTATGACTTCAATTCTTCTAAATTTTCTACTATTTTTCCATTATCATCAAAATGAAAAGTCACAAATTTTGAACCATTTTAAAAACTTTACTTTAAATACCAATATTTCAAAAAACGATCGCCATACCGATTTTGGATTATTTTCTTAAATAGAAAAATATTAGAAAATTTCACTTTAAATCACAATATTTCGAAAATCGACCACCATATCGATTTCGGATTATTTTCTCTGATAGAAATATTATTCCTACACAACCATGATTTTTTTATAATCTTTGGCCACCCATTTTTTCCAGAGTTGTCCCTAAATAACTCCTTAACAAAAATGCCACTATTATTGTGTATTTATATTCAACTTGTCGAAATTTATTTTTCGGAATTTTTTATTTCTTTTTAGACAACTGTCCAAAATTTTTGACCTTCTCCCGAGTATCATCGAAAATTACCAAAAAAAGAATCGTTTTGTTCACACCTCCAGAAATGTATCTGTTCGAAATTTTCTATCATTTTTCGAAATCGTCAAAATGAAAAGTGAGAAATTTTTAGATATTTTCAAAATTTGAATTTAAATCCCAATATTTCGAAAATCAGTCACAATATTGACTTTGAGTTATTTTCTCTGATAGATGTAGGTACTATTGACTTTATTACTTTGAAATTCCCAACCTTTTTTCCAAAATCGTAAAATAAGAAATAACAAATTTTGACTCATTTTGAAAATTTTACTTCAAATCTCAATATTTCTAAAATCAATCCCCATATCGACTTTGGATTATTTTGTATGATGGACGTTTCAATTCTACGCAACCACATTTCTTTTTTCAATAATTTTTGGAAACCCGTTTTTTTATTTATTTTTTTTTATTAATTTCACCAGAAAATCAAATTTTTAAAATTCCCATTGCGTACAATTTTTGACCTCTCGAGCATCATAAAAAATTACTAAAAAATTTGTTTTGTTTACTTAGACCTCCAGAAGTTCAGTTTATCTGTGTTTATCTTTTCTACCATTCTTTCAAAATCCTCAAAATGAAAAGTGAGAAATTTTTAGATAAGTATCTTCAAAATTTGAATTGAAATCCCAACATTTCGAAAATCAATTTTTTTTGGTAATTGTTCATTGTTCGCCAAATTTGCTTCACCGATTTCCAAAACTAAAAAAAAAAAACTGAAAGAGAAAAAGTTTTCGTAAAATAAAATATTTGTAAGTTTTATTGTATTAATAAACTATTATATTTATTCGAAATAAGAATGCTGTTCATATTCATATCTCCGTTGACAGGAAACTTTTACATCATAGAATAACTATACACTCAGGAAACATGATTAACTTGGTTTTATTTTAAATAAACATGGACGGTCTTTATCACCCTTGTGATAAGAGCCACAATAAACCCAACCCACCACACCTCTTCGCTAGTGTTTATTTTTGTACATTGTGCACAATTTTTTTCAATTGTCGGCATTTTCAAGATTACAATACGTGAGTAACCCAGTAATTCATTCATTAATAAAATTAAAAGCAACAGATCAAACTTGAAACTATGAAATACACTAGACTAGATCTTGCAGCACTAATCATTAGAATCCAATTTAATTGTAGCCGCTTTTAAATTTAAATTGTGTCAACAAAATTAATAACACTCGATTTGTTATCTTTTCAGTTTTATCACAATTTTTTTAGTATTTCCTGTCGTAATAATATGTAGGCAACCAGTTATTCAAGAATGTGTAGGAATTCAAATTCGCGGAATAGCTGATACGCTAAAATCGTAACAGATAGTGATTTCTTTTGTTTTCCTCTGATTTCCTTTGATTTCCTGTGATTTCCTTTGATTTCCTTTGATTTACTGTGATTTCCTTTGATTTCCTGTGATTTCCTCTTGATTTCCTATGATTTCCTTTTGATTTCCTCAAAATTTGTTTACATAATGTACTACAGGACGATTGTTAACTTTTTTTTAACTTGACTTTTTTGTTTTGCCGATAATGATGTTGAATTTAAACCTTTTTTTACCAAGTGTTTACTAACGTACGGTGACTAGGTAAGCTGAAGTGCTTTCCCTTTAGACGAAAAAAATAAATAAATAAAATATATTGTGCTGCTAAGCAACAAACTGAAATGTTTAAGAAAAAAAATCTGATTTTACTTACAAAAAGAACGATACTCTGAAATCGAGGTTTTAGATGTCTAAATCAATAGTGTAAGTATACGTTCGAATTTTACACTTTCTTGGGTCAAATGTTTGTTCTAAAAGTGGACATATGCAATATTCTAGATTTTTTTGCACATTCAGCAAGAAAACCTTATGGTCTATTTTAATTTTGAAATTAAAAATGTCTGGTGTGTACAAATTAGTTCGTTTAAATCAGTCAAAGATTTAATAAATTATATTATATATTATTATTAATTTTTTAATAAATTATATTATGAAATTTTGCTTTTGACTTTACGAAATTAAAAGTACATAAGGCCAAGGATATTTTTAGTTACGTCCGCAGTTTTTACTTATCAGTGACTCATACTCATAAGGCAACAACGACTGGCTCATACGTTCACAGAGGTAATTAATAAATACCAAATAGTCCAAAATCATTCTATTAGGTTCATCTCTGTGTTGTGCATACAAGATCATGTTAAAGTTTGACCTACTAAATCAAACTTATAATAATAACTTAAGTCATTACTTTTTAAAAATTGAGTTTATTCATTTATTATGGTAGCATAAACAGAAAAAACAAGTAGTTTCATTTATTTTATTAAATGTTAAAAAAACGGTAACTCTAATCATAAAAGTAAAGCATTTCTGTTGGATCATAACAAAATATCACAAAATAAAACAACTTCTTAAAAAATACTTACCCCATAACCTGTGTCGAGATTTGTGTATATATTGTAGATGATGTTGAAGTAAAAAACTGTGCTAAATTCTAGCTACCCATAAAATACAGATGATAACACTTTTAATTTTTTGTTCACAACTTTCAACTGAAGCACATTAGAAAAAAACTTTTGAAATGCGAAATTTAACACGTAAGAATTTTTTTTGCACAATAAAGGAGTGGATAACCCCACTTGATAAATTTTTAGAGGTAATTTTCCCCTTTAAAAGTGTTCATGGGCACCTAGAATTTTGCACAGTTTCTTACTTTAGTATTTTCTACGATATATACTTGTACAAATCTCGGCCCAGGTTGAGGTTACATTATCACAAATTTTAATCACATCACTTAAAAAAAACTAGAATTAAATCAAATATGTTTTCAATTTTTTTTTTTTTTTTTCAAAAACTAAACTTCCTCTTCTGAGTGCCTGAGGTGGAGGTAGTTTCATTATATATTCATTTTCTTGGATCTCCCCCTGATCTTTAATGTCCGGAAACATAAAAGCATCCGGAATTTTTGGATTCCTTTTCAAACAATCACAAAAAATAGGGTTAAGTGATTACCAATGTAACATTTTTTGTTTTGTTTTTGAGTTGTTAATTGTACTATAATATAATAATAAATAACGAGGATTCAAATCATCAGAATAAATGGAAGAATTCAAACCTTCGGTGTCCGTGCTGTCATCATATTCGATACTACTTGGATTGTCTAAATCAGATGAGTCACTTGATATATTATAGCGTCTTTTTTGTTTTCCAATTTGGACTGGTTTTTGAATTTGAGATACATCTTTATGTTGAAGGCAGGTATCTGTCTCTGAGTTAACTCTACCACTATTACATTTCTTATTTTGAATAAATCTTTTGAGACGATCCACACTGACGCGATCCTTTTCATTGTCTAACAGCTAGCAAAATGAAGACTTTTTTATAACTTTTGTTGTATTATCTAAGCGTATTCTGACTAGATCACCTTTCTCAACAAAAATATTGTCACTATCAAAACTTCTAAGGTGTATGTCTCTGTCAAATTTCTTAGATTCGTACGAAATTGTGCAAAGATCATTCAGTAAATCTCCATCTTGGGCAACTGGATCGTTTTCCAAACTTTGAAAACAGTTACGTTTCATTGCTATTTGAGAATTGTTGTAATTTTCAATGTGATCGCACTGTTCTTCACTAAACATTTCATCTTCAACTTCGTCATTGCATTCATTGTCTTTACACGGAGGCAAAAATACATACTTAGTTGAAATCTATCACTTTCATTCCAAAATCTTCAGTGTCACGCAAACAATCCCGTAAAGCTGATTCTACGGTGCTTTATCTGAAATGTTTCCTAAGTTATCATTTTTCACAAAATTTCTCTTTATGATTGAACTTTTTTTCCTGATTTCTCTAGGAAAAACGAATTTTTTATCCAAATCGTTTTTAATGTTGTTTATAGTTTGCAGTCTATCACTTCGATGCAACATATCTCTTATACTAAAATTAACAATTGTGCTAAAAGTTGAAGTCATTGATCTAAGGCTTCTAAACATACTCTCACAAGTTTGAGAGCTAAACTTCCAAGGCAAGAACATATCATCAGTAAGATTTTTGCACGACCTGAACTTAATGAATTTGGTACCTCATATCACAAACTCAATTTTTAAAAACTAATTTGGGGTGAAATTATAAATTTGGTTTGTAGGTATTATAAAGCAATATAATGTATCATTTCTCATCGGAACTGCACTTCATTAACTACAACTTTAATATTTGTCAAGCTGAAATATCATGCTGTCAGTTTATGATATTATACTGGAATTTTCTATCATTATGCCCTTAGAGGGTTATTTAATCTCCACTTTTAAGATTAAATTGATGTTTTCTTTCTAATGATGAATGCTATGACTTATGTTGTACATGTTACGTTTATTAGTTCTAGAAAATATCTAGTTTAACTGGATTTGCTGTGATGATTTTGGATTTCCTTTGTTTTCTTGTTGATTTATCGTTAATTGCTCATTGATTTCCTCTTGATTTCTCGTTGGTTTCCTCTTGATTTCCTTTTGATTTCCTTTGATTTCCTGTGATTTCCTTTGCGTGTACAATTGATTTCCTCTGCGGTTTACCCGTCGTTGTGGGTATTGCTGGTTGTCTACAAATAGAATAACTTTGCTTGGGAAAAATGTTTAAAATAAACTTTAGCTATTATCCGTTCACGCTCTTTATATAGTAGGGTTGGCAATGAAAATCTAGTGAGTTTGTTGGTATTCGATGCAGAAGAATAAAAATTCCCTGAACTTGTTTCGTTAGGTTATGTTTTATTAAATTAAAGGTTAAAAAATATGCCAGAAATATAAACACTGTTGCCGATATTTTCAGTTTTCAGTAGCAATGACCAAGTTAACGGTATCCATTTCTTAGAAAGCATCTATTGTTATATATTTTATTTTTCATTTATATTGAGAATGCCCACTAATTTTTTTTATTTTGCGTTTAAATTTTTTGTTGGTTTTCCTGCAGCGTATAGTCCGCCCTCGCCTATAGTCCGCCCTCGCATATAGTCCGCACCCGGCGTCAGGGAAAACAACGTATAGTCCGGGGACTATACGCGCAATTTTAGGGTAATTTTAATGTTCGAGATAATTATTATATTATTCAAACACAATTTAGACACTGTAGAGCAAACAAGGCTTATCAAGCCCGTCGATTAGTTTATTCGTCTAAATGTATTGTTAATACCGTTTTCAAATTACACCAAATTTGAAAAATCGAAAACTTAATAATTGAAAAATTGAAACATTTTAAATGAAAAAAATCGGTAAACCGAAAAATTGAAACATCTATAAATCGAGAAATTGAACAATCTAAAAATTAAACAATTTAAAAATGGAAGAATTGGAAAACCAAAAAATCTAAACCGAGAACTTGAAAAATCGAATAATCGAGAAATCAAAACATCAAGGAAAACAAAAAAATTAACGGAAAATCTAGAACTTAAAAATTGATAAATTAAAATACTTATCGAAAAATTGAAAAACCGAGAAATCGAAATATCAAAAAATGGAAAAATTGAAGAACCGAAACATTGCAAAATCTCAGAACTGAAATCTTGAAAAACTGAAAAATGGAAAGAAAATTGAAGAATCGGAAAAGTGAAATAATCGAAAACTGAAACATTGAAAAATCCAGAAATCGAGAAATTGAAAAATCACAATTGAAGAAAGAATTGAAAAATCAAGAAATAGAGAAATGGGAAAATCAAAAAATCAGTTAATCGAAAAATTGAAAAATTGAAAAATTTAGAAACGTCAAAAATTGAAAACTGAAAAATAAAAAAAATTAAAAATCGTAAAACTGAAATATCGTAACGTCAATAAATTGAAAAACTGAAAATTTTTGAAAAAAAAATCATATCAAAAACTAAAAATTCAAAAAGTCGAGAAATTGAACAATCAAAAAATCAAAACATTGAAATCCCAGTAAGTTGATAAATAGGAAAATTTAAAAAAAAAATTTTTTTAATCCAAGAATTAAACAACAAAAAAATGTAAGCCTGAAAACTCAGAAAATTGAATGATCGAGAACAAAAATTCTAAAATTTAAA